GATGCCGACAAAGCGTGCGCACACACACACACACACACACACAATGATACATACATACATACATACACACACACCCCGAGGACAAGCGAGACAGGAAAGTGTCAGGAGAAATCAGAGTGAACATTCTGGGCTTTCTCCATCGCGGAGGTTTCTCTCCCAAGGTTTAAACACAAAGTCGTACTCACTAATTTATTCTGCCTGTATTCCCATCAGCCTTTGTGTTTACTGTTTATTAGCGCTTTGCTCATGTTTATCTTCATAGCTATCAGCGATATATCAGAGTGTTTTGTTTCAGTCAGTGAGCAAAGTGAGATTCAGTCCCCAGCATGCGTTCCTTCTGTTTCCGAAATATTCATAAACACCCAGTCATTAATACTGACACACACACACACACACACACACACACACACACACAGTAATCATAGATAACTTAAAAGAAATGAGAATTTTGAGGATGAAACTCATGACTGATATTTCCCCCCCCCCTGTTATTTCAGTAATAAGAAACCCATTTTGCACAGAGACAGATTTAAGATAAACAGGCGGCGCACGCGGACATTCATTTGCATACTCGAACAATGGCGCCGCATCTCAACAGAACATTCTGTTACAGCCGCCGTGGTCTTTGTTCTGCAGCGAGGAGCTGCACAATTATGCCCCATAACGATAACCACGATTTTAATATTGAGATCACGGTCAGTCGATACAATTACGAGTGCATTGCTGCTGCAGGCGGCCGGCGTCGCACGCCAACACATTCTGCGGCGTGTTCACCTGCGTGCACACGCACGCGTCTGTGTGAGTCTGTGATGGAGAGGACAGAGCAGTGACAACGTGGTCAAATTAGAGACAAATTCACATGCCGTCATGCAAATAAGGTAAATAACATTTATTCAGTTTGTTTGATTCAATAACAAAGTAAGGAGCTGATCTATAGGGGAGGTAACTTCAATATATAAGTGAAAAGGTTTTTCACATAGTCACTGTCATGTTACGCTCAGCTCAACGAATGCAAACATCCGCTGCTGCAGTATTTTATTTAAGCTCTCACCAACACGACCACTTTAACGCCAATTCCTCAGTTGAGCATGTTCCTTTAATAGTGGCGCAAAAATCGATTGACGCCTAATTAACTGTCCGGCTTAACGTGTGTGTAAGGATGAGCGCAATCAAACAGGATGGTCCTCTAACTCATCCGTGACCGTGTTTATACCGGCCGGCTGCTGTTGTCCCGTCACTGGCATCCAGTTTATGAGGAGCTCCCTCATTACACTTTACTTCCCATTCAATAAATAATAATAATAATAAAATCACCGTTATTGTTTTAAGTAGCCAACACTCCAGTGACATCAGATCTGATTAGTCTAAGAGGCAGAGGGGGCGGGGCTTATCACCATAAACGCTTTTGTGCGCCCGACCGACCGCTTCAACTGTCATCGGCAACAGTTTCGAGCTGTTATTATAAACAATAATGTTAATGAGTCGACCATCCGGCTTCTAGCCGCTAATCACGGTGCTCAGAAGATGTTCTCCATCGACGGTCCTCTCACACACGATTCATGCTGTCCTTTTTTTTTTTTTTTTTTCCTTTCTCAAAACCATCGGCGCGTCTTTTCTTTTCTTAAACGCTCGCCGCCGCTCTCCTCTTCCTCCCCCCCGGTCGCGTGGGAGCGTGCGTCAGTGAGCCGGCCCTGAGATTCTATCTCCCCCTTTCATTAGGAAGGGGAGAAGGCGCGGAGATGGAGGCGTCAAGGAGGTGAAGGGGGGGCGCGGGGGAGGTAAAGAGTAAAACAGATCGAGCGCATCGGTCGAGGGGGAACATGTGGAACTTTAGCGTCTCCGCTGTGGGAAGAGCGAGTGTGTTTACTTGTTAATGAGCTAATCAATAGCAGCGGCTGCTCGGGGAGATTACTCACAGAGACACACGAGTCGGCTGCTTCGCCTGCAGCTTCCCGCGGTTGTTGTTTTCTTCAACTAAAGTTGCTCCAATGGAGTTTCTCAATTTCAAGTCTTTATCTGAAAAATGCTTGGCTTCATTCAGAGTCTCGTCAGCACTACAGGGTGACAATTTGGTCTATTTTCCTAATAACTTAGAGGGAATTAAGAAAGGGGGGATGGGGGGAAACTAATTGTTGTGAGTGCATAAAAGAAACTTCCGACAAAGTCATTATTGCGTTTTGTCAGACTGACTTTTATGGACTTTGTGTTCGTCTGAGCGCTGAAACGGATACTCGTTAACGTCGCAAGACTCCGAACTTCTGGAGACAAGCGCTGTAAATACTCACAGTTGAGATGTTTGTCTCGCTGATTAGCGGAGCCTCATAAATGCATAATCACTGCTGCTAATCAGCCCTCTCAGGGTCGAGCTACAGATATAAATGTGCAATTTATGCACCTTCTCCCTCGTCTAGAACCTTCCTGTCGTCACGGGAATTGATTGACAGACACTTTTTATCCACATAAACCAGCGATGTCTTCTTCTCGTTTGCAGCATTAAAAGAAGACTGTCGACTTTGACGGCCTTAACCTCTGACCTCCCACGACTTCATAATTTAGTAGATCGATCAAAAACAACAGCAAGAAGGTGCCAATATGGCGAAACTCCTCTCAGGAGGAACCGACCCCGACTGCATCCAGTGAGCTCAGTTGTATTTATGTGCGATGACGACACAAGGCCTTATACACGTTATACAAGTAAGGACGAGCGCCACTGGACGCGCGCGGCTGCTCTGCACCTGAAATGACTCTTCGCTTTGAGACGTTGCACACTGCTTCTGTGTGGCATTTACTGTTGACCTGCCAACTAAACATCCCTCGACTATTCAAGATGACATTTATGTTCAGACGCTGGAGGGTTGAATTAAAACATCGGAGCGACAAAGACTGACGAAGACACAATAAACAAAACATCCCTCTCTGTCATTATCACCATCATCATCATCATCATCATCGTCGTCGTATCTTTGCATCCCGGTTTAAACTGGACGAGTGAAACGCAAAGAAAAGAAGCTCGTTGTGCAATTTAACTCAAAACATTTCAATTAACAACTTATGGTAATGTTTGAGGGCTGAACGGTGAACCTGGATTAAGGGGCGAAGAAAAGCCTTTGAATGGAAATGGGACAAAATGAATGAAGGCATGAGGAGCGAGAGGGAGGGAGGGAGGGAGGGTGGGAAGGGGGGACGTGACAGTTGCAGGTTAAACAGCTTACGCCACAGGAGGGGGATTTGTGTGCCTCTGCTAGAGGGGGATATTAGCAGCATTATGTGGCAACCCTGTTACTGAGGTGAATAACATTAGAATCCTATTTGTAGGCTTCCCGTCCACAATCCCGGAGTAGCCCCCCACTCATCCACGAGCGCACGTTACGCAGGTTATGCACATTGTCATCAGTGTGTGTGTGGCTTTAAATGTGAGTGCGAGGGTTGTGTGCCTCCTGTAGGCCACCAGGTATGTGTGTGTCACACAGAGAGCACCTTGCATACTAATAGAGGAAGTCTTAGCATCTGTTATGTGTGTGTCTTTGCACATCTGTATGCATGAGGGACGGAGGTAATTGTGATGTGAAGGAGAGGGGTTGAGAGTGTGTGAGCGCAACACTGCGCAGTATGAGGGTATTACGCCGGTGTCTGAGGTTAACGCATATTGACAGTGAGTTATCTCTTCTGGCGGGGTCGCAGGTGGGTTCGATGCAGGCGATCGGACGTGACGAGTGGGGGGGGAGGGGGGAGGAAACACGCATGTGGCCGCCCGCACGCCGCGCTCGAATCCCCGTCCACACCTCGCGTTCTCCTGGACTCCCTAACACCATTCAAACGCGTTCTCGAGCCATCGTCCCGCGCCAAGGTGACGGCTCCCGTGTCGGCCCTTGCTGGAGGCCGCCTATCACATCGCAACGCGACGCTGATTAGCTCGTGCCGCACACTCCGATCAGACAGATCAAGAGGCAGACAAAGACGGGAGAGAAGGTGGCGTGTGTGGGGGGCGCGAGGGAGGAGGGAGTAAGGAGACGAGTGCGAAGGGAGAACAACAAGATGATTTATTTTACTGTAAAGCTACTTTAAAAGAAAAAAGGAGGATTTGTTCAACAGCTGAGGGAGGGTCACACACGTGGAGGTTGTATGAGTGGAGAAGTGATCGATTCATGCAGCCCGACCCGGTGACATTGCCCAGTCATCACTCTCACACTCACACACTCACACACACACACACACACACACACACGCACACACACACACACACACACACACAGAAGGTCCCTCTGCCTGCATGGCTGAGTTGGGTACAAAGCTAAAACGGGGCGTAATGGTGCCTCAATGTGGACGTGGGGGACTCATAAAAGGGAGAAGAAAAAAAAAAAAAAAACACCTTGCAAGGTCAAATTTGCACTTCCTGAAGCGTTCCTGAAGGATCCCGAGGAGAGACGGATATCAGCACCGGCGCAGATGCTGCAGCCGGTAGGAACGCTGACGCTGACAGCGATCTCCCTTTTAACTTCACACCTCTGCGTTACTGATCACGATGCGCTCGCTTACCGGTACACGCGCCGCCGGGAGGCTCGTGGCGAGTGTGTGCATGTGCTGAAATACATTGATGCAGTTACACGGAGGCGCTTCGTATCACTACCGCAAACCAAATGCCAGATACGGCGTTCCGATTTGTCATCACACGTGCATGTATCACTTTTATCACTTCCTACAATCCTGTATGTTTGATGAAACTGTCTTCACTTCCAGGCAGCAATGAATCAATGAAAGCAATGACGCGACTAAATAAAAGTTCCCAACACCTTAAACATAGAGCACTATTAACAGCGACCGTGTTCAGTCACATGCGACTGAGCCGCTCTCTCATGGACTGAAGGGAAGGGCCGAGGCGCTTTTGTTACGGATGCTTTTTAAAATCTATTTCAGGCTTCCTGGTTTGCTTCCGGGCCCCTCAGAGGCAAAGCGATGTGCGTGCGTGCGTCCGCGTGGTGCCCCGTGTGATGTGCGCGTACTTTTTTGAAGAGCAGGGAGTCGTCCATGTGCTCGGCGTAGAGCGAGGTGAGCCTGTACTGGTTCTCGGTGGTGATATCGATCTGATAGCCGGTCAGGACGTAGCAGACGGTGCGGAACTCCTGGATCTTCCTCTGAAACACCTCCTTCAGCCTCTGGTTCCTGAGCTCGGAGCTCTCCATCTGCTTGCGTAAATCTGAGACACACACACACACACACAGAATACGGTCAGACATTCCCGCAGTGGGTTTTTACAACGTCCCTCTTTATGTACGCAATCAACATTCCAGCCACAAAAGGGAGGTGAGTTGATGCTTTTTATGTTTGGTCTTTTCCAAAGACTCCACACGCGGTGAAAAGTGCTCAATTTACTCTCAATAAATTGCAGTAATTGGTTGTATTTTTTCCCCTCATTACAAGAGCACCAGAATAAAAAGGTAAAAGAAAGCAGTTGGACCAAAGCACATAGAACGCTCAGCTGGTGTTGATTCACTTCCCATCTTCAGAAAGCGTTTTCAAATGTGAACTCACTTCGCCGAGAGCGATCAAACAAGCGAGAGGCCATTTACCCGTTTACAGCAAACAAGTCCTCAACCCTCTGGTGCCGTCAAAACACACACACACACACACACACACACACACCTGCAGCACCGGCCTCGACTCACAGCCGCCTCTGCTGAGCCCGGTAGATTTCAATCTGCCACCATCCAGCACGGCGCCGGATGGGTTTCGAGGAGCCGGCGAGCGCGTCTCTCTCGCCGTCCGTCCGTCCGTCCGTCCGTCCGTCTCCCGGGCGACCGGCCTCCTCTCAACTGTCAGTCAGCGCCGATAAATACCGGTTCAAGACTTCAGCGTTGTGACACGACTGTCTCCACGTGACAGCCATCAAACTCCACCCCCACCCCCCCGAAAAATGGCTGCGGATGCTCGAGTGGCGGCGAGGGGAAGCAGGAAAGCATTTTACTGCAACGACGTGGAATCGAACGCGGGGAAATGGACGCGTTGGTGTCAGACTGAGTGGTGTGCGTGTGCTCAGTTGCCGGTTCAAAGCATTCGTGGTAAGAAGTTTCTTTTTACGCCAACTGTCAAGTTTTGGAGTTGGTGATTTCTGACTTTTACCCCTAATTGGTCCCAGCGGGTCCCTTAGAACCAGATGATGATTCTGTATCGTATACACAACTAACCTGGCCTGTGCGTTTGTATCCGTAGAATGGAACATGGGCGAATAAACTAAATGGGAGACGACACAAAGCAGCCGTGGTTTTACCAACAAAGCACAGCAGGAGGTCTAAAGAACGAGAAGCATCTGCTGCTCGAGACTTCTGAAGGCTCGTCAAGTTCAAATGGGAGAAGCAGAGGATTTTCTACACGAAAGATGTGTGAAAACGGGCTATTTGGTAATACTTGATTCTAAAAAGTGAAAGAAAACTTTCAACATTTCATTCATTCCTGTGAAGGAAATTAGATTGAATGGTTGTTGATGTGTCATCATTTGAGGATTCCATCAGTAAAACCAACCGTCGCTGAGACAAAAACACTGATTCTGTCAAAAAATAAAAAGGCCGTCAAGTGTTATTGCTCAAATGTCAGATAAATGTGGCGTAAACCGCCGATGCAATATTCACAATCCCTCCAATGGCTTCTTTTACACAGACGTCCTGCAGTGGTCACCATGTGGGTCAGTTCATCAGACTGTATGTCCCATTAAACATACATTGACATGTGACTTGGTCGGTTTACTCAATGACTTGAGAGAGAAAGAAAAAGGTTGGAAACAAACTCCATCGCCGGCTCCGTTACAGACCGGTCCAAACCTGCCCCCTGAAGCCCCGCAGCAGAGGGTGTAAAAGCAATATGTTCAATTTCACTTCCCAATGAGAAGTTACCCTCAGGAAAACGGTCCAGCGTGAAGCTGATTCTACTTCTTCGATGGTTTTAATTAAATGGTTTTCAAGTGCAAAGATGAGCCGAATTAAACAATAAGTGTTGAGCTTCATTTAACATGTTTCTAATTGGACATTTCAGTGCAGTCAATTAGTTCGTTGCACCACAGCAATTATCACAACATCGAAGCGATACGGTTGATGTAGAATATACGGAAAATAACACATCAATTACTAAATTATGGTTACATAAAAATGATCCTAATAAAATCCTGAAAGTACCCATAATGATGATTACTCTACGCCTGTAATGCACTGCAGCACAATCGGGGATTTGTGTTGTATTGAAAAGAAAGTTAATAACTTCCAGAGGTCTCTTTATGATGAAGGCTTAATTGCACAAGTGACTTCATGTCGTTAGTGTAAAATATATAGATATACATACGGCTTTGCCCCATGAAGTAATACCTTGTTAATGAAATCTGCGCCAATCTCAAATACATGACATTCATTCAGCTTGTCTTTTGATACGTTCCCAGACATCCCGTTGCTTTTGACCCCGGTTTGACGATAAGAACAGATATCACACCTTATCTGCTAGAAGTTCAATTGAGCACATCGCTGGGAAACTCCATTATCATTTCCGGAGAAGAATGGACCCGGAGCAGAAAGGCAAAATTAAAGAAAATAACAAAGACCAGAGTGAACGGAATTGTTAAGAGAAAGTTGCTCCTCAGGAGAAAAATCATCCAACAGACTTCTGGCGACGAACCTCCCCGAGCTCAAATTAAACATTTAACCCCGTCATAGCTACACTTTCCCCATCGAGCCGCGCGGACACGACATCTCACGCTTCCTTCGCTGCCAGATGTTGCTGCTGCGTCTTCCCGCCCGCCTACGCCAGAACCCCCCGCGGTGAGTGATCAGAGTGATCGAATGGCTACAAACTACCCAACCGCAGCTCATATTCAGCCCTTTATATGAAGCGTCGAACTACGGCTTTGTTTGTTGATGCTTTTTTTGCGTGTTTACATTTTACAGCCCCCCCCGCTTGTTGTTCTTACCCAGAACCTCCTTCGGCGGCGGCAAGCTGAGGCCGGACTCGTCCTGCAGAGCGGCCGCCGCGCCGCCGCCCCGCAGCGAGCGCACCACCTCCCGGAGGCGCGTCACTTCCTCCCGCAGGGCCTCACCGTCCTGCTGGCGCTGCTGCTTGGCGGTGGCGGTGGGGTTCATTTTGAGGTGGAGGACTCGGGTCTTGACGGGATCGTAGTCGCCCTGAGACGCCGAGACAAGGAGAGACCAGACGAAGCTTTTCTTCAGCCATCTTTAACCAGGGTGGAGAGTTAAAGAAACACAACTCAGCGCCGGGAAGGAAGGAATTGTTGAATCCAGTCGTTCTCAAACCGTGGGGCGTGACCCTCTGGTGGGTCGCCGGGGGCGAAATCTGAACTCTTTTATAGACGGATATCAGCACCGGGACAGATGCTGCAGCCGGTAGGAACCTTTTAACTTCACACCTCTGCGTTATTGATCACGATGCCACTATGTTGAGAACCTTCTTACAAAAGTACAAAGCAGACAAACGACTGTCGTTCACTCGCTCGTCTCACTCTGTCACTTTTTCCCTCTCCTTCACGTTTTTTCTCCCCCTCTCCCACACTTTTTGCTCTCCCTCCCTCTCTGCCTGCCGAGGATGCTCCTGTGCTCGAGCCAATGTGAAGCCCCAGCAGATGTTCAAGGAGGCCGCTTGTGTGAGTGAGTGAGTGCATCTTTTATCACGCTGCTGTATAACTCGCCCCCCTGATTATTAATTATGTTAAATTATTTTGCAATGTAATTTGTATTAATAGTTGTCATCTACTGAGGCAATAAAGAAATGAGTCATTTTGCTGCATCATACGTCTTGTGTGACATATTTCCATTGGGAGAACAGTTGAAATTAAAAAGATGCCTTTTTAAGGGGCCTTGATGTTTAATAATGTGGACAGTAACAACCGTGCTAAATATCCTGTATGTCTTTCGGAATTTTGCGAGTAGCCTAAAACTCTATTAAGGTTCTGGGCCTGTTGCTCACCAACATATTCACAGATCCATTGATTTAGACTTTTTGTTTGGTGAAACGAATGGCATACTGACTGATGTCACAACGTAGGGGAATAGTTGATTCCCAATGAAGTAAATATGAAAATATTGTTAAAAAAAAAGTGCGAAAATGCCAAAAAAAAATTGCATTGAAATTGAAAATCATGTAGAAATGTGTTTTTAAGAGTTCTTTTATCAGTGGATGTCAGCACATGAGTTCTGTGTATCTGGAATGCATTTATTGGCAGCACTCTCAACCCATTGAGGATTTGAGGAAAATAAAAAATAAAAATCAGACCCTCAGAAAAAAACAAATAAAAAGTATGGCAGCCCATGTTTGAGACTTTGGCTCCCCGACTATGAAACTAAAACACTGGCAACAGGAGCGTTTCAGCAATATATATTTCATGTTTACTACATAATATTTTACTACACTGCAAATCATCAAAAAGACTAAGAGCAAATTACATAAAGTCCAATGAATAGAGGGATCTTAGCAAAAAAAGAATGGAGACGTGCCTTTTCCACTGAAGACATGATTTTCTCCCTTTTCCCCACTTTGTCTCTGACTCTATAAGGTCTGCGTAAATGAGAAGAATCTATCTCAGCTTAATGCCAATAAAAGGACACACACACACACACACACTCTTGACTACTGGCTAAATTAGATTCCATGTGCCCCTGAGCGTCTGTTGCCAACTAAACTAGGGGCGTGGGGGGAAACCGAAAAGAACACGAGGAAACCGAAGCGCCTTCAGAGCACGAGCAGCAGCAGCGTGGACGACGGGAAAGATGCCTCGCACGCTCATCAACAAACCTCTGCATGATTTAAATAAGAGCCACTGAGCCATTTAGATTTTTCCAAAATGAGAACGTAGGTATTTGCATCGCAGCATTTTCCAGCGGACTGCGCGCACGTCCAGATGCAGATGCACACAACTGGCAATGACAAAAAACTCATCCAGCTCTACTTCCCTGAAATCAAAAGTTTCACATTTTTGTGGGGGTGGGGGGTGATGCCCGGACTGAGTCGCGGGGCAGAAGTTTTTAATTGACTGCTCGACCGCAATAACAAAAGCAAACGGATTTCTCTTTGGCATTTCAGCGCATCGCCTCAATCTAAGAAATAGCATGATCTTTTTTTTTTAATTGGTTAAGCATCATCCAGTGAAATATAAAAGTACTAACAAGGACAATGTTTATAAAATTGGGACGGGTATCATCACCTTTCACTGCACAGGAGTCTGCAACACACCACATATGTGAGTGTGTGTGTGTGTGTGTGTGTGTGTGTGTGTGTGTGTGTGTGTGTGTGTGTGTGTGTGTGTGTGTGCACGTCTGCTCCTCCAGCAGCAAAGTGCCCGAGGCTGCATCTCTTATTCATAGAAGGACAATAACAACACATCTAATACCAGGGAGCAGTCGGTTGTAAAAAAGGGTGAGAGGGAGAGCATGAGATCAGAGAGACGGAGTGTGGGGGGGGGGTAAGAGGGTCACGGAGGGAGGCGGATCAAAGTCCAGGGGAACAGTCGCTTCAACACCGCTGAACAAATCGCTCCGAAACGACCGCTAAATACTGCACCGACCACCGGGGGACACGGGCGTCCCCACGTGCCATCCGAAGATAAATTCAACTTCTCAGTGGATTAATTATCTCAGTAAACATTGTAAGCATGATTTTATGATCTGAATCTCCAATTCAAAAGTGTCCTCAGTACAGCGTGTTGTTTAAATTGACCATAATTTATTTAATAGAGTCAAATAGACAAAGCTGTGTGGGCTTCAGGGCGAGCTTACTCTGACAAATGGGCGTTGCAACAATGTCAACGCCCACTTATATGCACTCACTGTGCGTAGGTCAAATACACAAAAGCCCAATCGATCTAAATATCAGGGTGTAATGCAACAAAAGAGGACGGTTAATGCATTTTGCCAGGCAGTGTACTCTACCTGATGACATCATCGGGGGCAAAAACTGGATAATAAATATTATAAAATAAGACAATTACTAATTTTTTTACTAATGTGTGAGGCGGTAGAAATATCCGATATCCTTTGAGGGAACACTTCGTTGAGGGGATCCTATGGAGTTTTCTTGTAAGTACAGAGTTCTGCTGACATTCGCTGTCACTCCACAAAAAGCACCGTGTTTATCCATAAGTGCATCTCCCTCCCCGTGAAATAGCAGCATCGGTTTCCTAGCATGCAGTCGTCTTAGTGGCGAAAGCGTCACCTACACAAAAACATCTACACGGGTCTAAGACTCCAGAGTGATTACTGAAGCGCTGAGACACACGAAGGACCGAAACTCAAGACTAGGACATGCTCCACAGGGCGGCGTGGGTTGGTCCTCTCATGCCTCCTACACGGCAGCGGGCGTGTAGAACAAACGACACGGGTCGTTCTGCACATCTTCAAACCACGTCAATGACGCTTTAAAAGAGAAGACGAGTGGACGCTAGACTGGAATCTCCCCTCCAAAAACCACAACGGCACAAAAGGACCGGCACCCGAGGTGCAATTTGGGAGCTCCTCCTCCTCCTCCTCCTCCTCCTCCTCAGCTGAAGAGCTCGCCGACTGTGATGTTGAGGAGCTCTTCATATCATGCAGCGTTGGCACCAGAACTGGTAAGCTGCAGGCACCCGAGCCTGTGGGGACTAATGGACACACGAGTGTCAGACGGCGCTGCGCCGTCTCTTCTTTCCCCCCCTATAATCACGCCTCTTCAAAACGGAGACAAGCATCGCACATTCCCTCAAGAGTAACTTCCTCATCAAACTCTGCTCACAAAGGACCGTCTCACCTGTGTGAAAGTGTCGGGAGTGACCTTTGTGTCTTTCTCTGGGTAAGTCCCAGTTGCCGTGCCAGCCACTGGACAGATGTTTTGTTTTTTTATATTTACTGGTATGTCAAGATATAGCTGTTCTCCAAAAAGGGGCAAGGAAAAAATGATGGCTTTACATTGCAATCGTCCCGCCGTTTTCCCCTTCGCCCAAGTTATGCTTTGCACGTCCAACGTGTGTCCGTTAAGGAGTTCAGCTTGATGAGCGTTCGGTCGTCAGAGGAGCGGACGCTGCGGGCAGAGGACCCGTCCAGAACCATCTGCGTGTCGGCAGCGGTCTCCGGGGTGGAAACCGGACCGGCTCGAGCCGACGTCACCAGTCCCCTGCGCTGATTTAACAGCGTAAGAACAGAGCGGCGTGGACGTCTGAAGAGACGTTTTTAGCTCGACACAGAAAAACGTTGCTTTTGGGAGGCCGGTGCATTGTGGGACGCGTAAACGGATTGAAAGGACCCCTCGTTGTCGTCGTCGTCCTGGGTTGTTGCCGCCCGTCCTTCAGACACCAATCATCATCAATCTGTCCAAAGAATGCGGCAGCCTCATTAATTTGAGGAGTCGGCGGTCGCGAGAGGACATCTGTTAAAAGGCGCCTTTCACGCCGTCATTGAAAATATGTCAAACAATATCGCCTTCAATTGTCTCAGTGAAATGTGGCGGCGACAAGGTCGCCTGGGGAAATGAGTTATGAAAGGTAAGTGTTGTCACGAGGCCCCGTTACATTAAAGTGAGATTTTATTTTCCCTGGCGTGTGACCTGCTGGCAATAACTCGCTGTGTCCACCTGCCAAACATTATAAAAGAGGAAAATATCTCAACCACTTGCCAGAAAACTCCACATTCATGGTGAACTGTAATTTTAGCCCCACTTCTGGAGAGGAGAAGAGGAGAAATGTGGCCTCAAGGTTAACTGCCCGTCGTAAACATTTAGTCATAATTTCAGCTATATTTGTTGCTTGGATTGTTCTCTTTATATAGATATATTTGCCATTAAAGCGTAGACCTTCATATCAGCAGCAGGAGGAGCACAGCTTAACCATCCATCATAACCAGATTCAAATGGGCTTTACTGAACGTTCAGGTTCAATCCCGCGAACATCCGGTACCAGTCAAACGGTCGGAGTTTTGACTGTTAGTGGAGGAAATAAATAAATAAATTCGCTGTGAAAGCTCTGCAGAGTTCTTAAATTATATTGATAATTTTTTTTCAAAAAGTATCAAAATCAACGTTTGCCTTGAACATACTCATGGTGGGTTTAGGAGGAGCAGCAGGAGGAGGAGGAGGAGCAGCACTTCCAGGCTGTTCCTCCTGGTCCTCTGTGGGTTGTTCCAGTTCATGTTTAAACAATAAAAACAATTGTATAACTCCAAAGTGCTGCTTTAATTTAAATGGTAATTTGCCAGCAAATATTAGCATGTCTCTCTTTATAAAGCTATGCTAGTATAGTGGTTTAAGATCCGGAGTAAAGGGTTCAAAACTCACCTTTATTATGACCTCTTTTTGCTCATGAAACACTTTTCATAAAAAGGTATAAAAACCGTATAGAACCACGCATTTGCCGAATGAAAAGAACAGGCACCGCGTCGGCCAAACTAAGCTTTTCTCACTATGCTGCGGTTTTGCGTCTTCACTTGTCGACCAACCTCTCCGATGGACTCGCTGCAGCCTCTTTCATCTGCTCTCGTTCTGCATCTGGGAAGAACTCTGCGGCACTGACCTCCTCCGCCCTGCGGCCCACGTTACCGCCACGCTCTTTTCTCTCCTGACCCTGCGACACCATATCGGTCTCCCCTCTTCTCGTCCTGAGACACTCCCACATTCGTCGGCAAATCTCATCTGATAGCAACCATCAAGAAGCAAATACGTCACACTTCCCCACTCACTCCTCCGTGCCTCTTAGTCCCGGTGTGGACTGTACAGCTCGGGGTTCCCACACAGCGACTATTGATCTCGACACGGATCCAAAGACAGATCAAAGCTGCAAGGTCAATTACTTTAGCCAGTAAAGGTTTTTTTTTTTTTATTGCAACAACATTCAGCGTTTCTCTAACATGGAACATGGAAGCTTGAAGTGCGCGAGTGTCACAGTTCCCGTGTGCGCCGAGGCAACGTGTTTATTCTCTTTTGCTCTTTGTGAACAAAATTCACAACATCTGAGTGTGTAAAGTTTTACGTTAACGGTAGTTCAAACAAAGCTAACGTTGGCCGTTAGCCTTTTAGTTTGCTAACGTTAGCTAATAAAGAGGTCGTACGCAGCGAGTCTTTGGTGACAAAATATGAAGGGGTTTTATTGCGATAGAATGATATGAGAAATACGTCTCCATCCAGCAGTAAACACGATGCTGCGGTGTCACAGCGCGGCAGACGCACTACGTTGATGCAACCTCTTGCAATGACAATTAGAGCGAAACGTGCGGCAGCGACAAGTCAACCATCACTGCTGCTTCAGCGCGCGCTGGAATCGAATGATATCAGACCGCTGAAGAGCTGTTGTTTAAGCCAGTTGGATGTGCAGAGAAGTAAAGTCAAACAAATGATCGTACATTGCAGGACCACCAAGCCCCATGTGTGGTTCAAAGGATAATAATCCCACTCGGTATTTGTTTTGGTTATATAAAGACTTTTGAAGCTGCTCGTCTGGCCTTCAGTCTCTCGCTGATAACCCAGAGATACATTTCACACAACTGGCAATGACAAAAGCAGCTGCCTCACGGCGGCGCCGGTTAATTAATCACATCCGTCCGTGAGGAAGGTTTCATTTCATCTTTGTAACCATCAACTGGATACAAGAAGTGGTGTTATTGGTTTTTCATCCATTGGTCTGTCGACTGCGATTTTGAGGCCTGGAGATCAACGTTTTTTCTGCGGAGCAGTGACCTAGAGGAGCCGCGAGCGGCTGTGGGAGCATTTGACAACCTGTCAATCACACGTAGCCACGCCCCCAAAGCATTACCCTGCTTTACGGTCTATTTTACCCCAAATGAAACCAGCGATCAAGTAAGAACAGCGAGAAGTAAGGTCATTCTCTCATGAATGAAGAATACAATCAGACCTTTTGCAGCGTGACCTTTTAAGTGAACTGGTTCTGCGCTCGTCATACTAGTAACAGTGACTTACTGTTAGATATATTTAATGTCCATCACTTGTATACCAGGAATGCCGATGAATGATATCAGACGCTCCTCCTGTCAGATCACTGGTGGGGAGGATTGAAAAGCGCTTTCATTACGCTGGTAATCCGAGTGGTTGACAGTCACTCGTTAGTCTGATCTCAATATCAAAGACGGGGCAGAAAAGACGCTTTTGCTGCAACAATCATCATGCAAGTTGATGTCACGACCCAGCCCGCCCCCCTCGCTGTCAATTCATTCAGGCATTCAATTCCGTACCTCTTTCATGCCAATTCATTCAGGCATTTATTTCTCCTTTCAAACGAGGCGCCGTTCAGTAACTCATCCTTTCCCCTCGGCCTCATGTAGACTTCTCTCTGAGCGCATTAGACCACGGAGGACTCATAGAAAATTACTCCTGAGAACTGACCTGATCCCTTCAACGCGCAACTTTCAAAACACACACACTCCTACACATACTTAGTGGTTAAAAGTGGTGGTCATGCTTGAGAACATATGGATTTCATTCACCCCGCGGCTAAATGGATCCAACGCGCTCGCCCACACACCTTTCATTAGAGTGGCCTGGTAGCTTAGTCCGGTACGGTACGAGTCAAGGGAGCTAGAGGACGTGACGCGCACACACACACACACACACACACACACACACACACACACGATGTTCACGTGGTAAAGTGTTCATTTCAGCCAGTTGTATTCGAATCCCTTCAACCACTAAAAGCGGCTGTTTTTAAAATCACACCTGGGTCCAATTGTCCTTGAGGAGTGTTTGCGTGAACCGGCTCGTGGGGGGGGGTCGGTCCCTGTGTGCCAGGCGAGTATTTCCGTCACAGAACAGCGCTGCGGGGACGTGGCCTACCTGTAGGTTGTGTCTCTCCAGTCTCATTTCCAGAACGTTGTTCTGCTGCTCCAAGGACTGGCGCTCTGCCTCCAAATCTTCAATTTTCTGTCTGAAAAATGCACACACACACATTCAGTGACTGGTTTATTACTATAGCGACTATGCAAAGTGTTGACTCAGTCCGCTAATCCAGCCCGGCTCACAGCTAATCCATTCGTATAGAAGATGCACCCTTGTTTAAGCATTAATCGCTCATGTCCCGGGTGTGGAAATGGTTGTCTTGGCAATAGGTTGTGTGTGTTTTTGTGTGTGTGTGTGTGCGCACTAATTACCTGAGTATGCTGACCTCTTCTTTGGTCTCTGAAGAGCTGCCATCACCAGCGGAGGCTTGCTGCTTCCTTAAAGACTCCATCTCCAGCTCCACCTGGGACAGACGGAGGAAAATGGGCCTGCTGCCGTAACATCCGCCACCTTTGGCTTTGTGCCTCGCAGGCACCTTTTGGCTGCCGCTATCTTTTTGAGACAGGCAGCCAGACCAACGGCTAAATCCTTTAAAACCTCATTGGCCCACCGACTCGGTTTCCATTTCTCAATGTTCCAACCCTCCCAATTTCACCCCAATCTCACCCTCATCTGTGCCTCATTTCCTTTTGTGCACCAACTTCTTGTTTTTCTTTTCTTTCCCATACAGATGCCTAACAGTCAATACACTGTGTATATACTGTAGTGACTGTTGAGGGGAAAATGAGATACCGGTGACTTCCATATCTTTATATTTAGTCCCAGCAACTCTACAGTACCATTATCACAAATGCAAATACAGATGATAAATAAGACAATAAAGCAGGCCAACGTCACAGGCTTATTAAAGCGCTCTGACTCACAGAGAGGCCGAACACACCTGCCGGGGTTACAGGCGGGACTGAAAAAGGTACCCGAGGCGGCTCGAGCGCTGGCGGCTGAGGCTACAATGACTAATACAAAGTACTAATTAAGATTTCTGTATAGCTTTAATAAACATTTTACTTTTTGCCTCCTGGGTACTTTTGTTGTTGTTAGCTGCTGGTGCAGAACGAATAGAAGTTAATTAGGGTGAACTATGTTTGACAATATAAGGAAACAATGATTTTTTTTTTTCTGTACCTCACGGGACAGAAAGCTACAAATAGCAGAGACCGGAGTGTGCGCGAGTACAATTCTACTCACGGCATGCAGCTGCAGTTTCAGAGTCCCCGCCTCTTCCTGTGCTTTGGTCAGCTGACCCTGAAGCAAAAGAACCAAAACAAGTTCAATGTAGAATCCATGTAAGAGAAACCAGACCTGTTGCAGTTAATATCCATATCTGTCAAAAATGTAAGTATTTCCTCATATTTTTTCCCCCTTTGTAAATACATGTGAAAGGTCAAGTAGCTTGACAAGCAAATTGCTTCCGGTTCATCCTTGATTTCCAGTGGGCGTGTGGCCATCTGAGTTGAATAAGCCGCTCAAGGCCGCCCTCATATAGCGCTCTCAGGAGGGCGGGAGGTCACAGCGACCTTGACCTCTGACCACCACATTCCCATCAGCTGATCCTCTTGTGTCGAGGCGAACGGCCGCGCCATATTTATGAAGAAATTGTCCGGCGGTGACAAAACGCGAGAACGGAGCAGACGGGCGGGCGACCCGAGACCACAATGCCTCCGGCCACGGGCGTCCTCGGGGAGTGGCCAATAAAAAGAGGAGAAATGGCCTCCAGTCCTTCGACTGATTAACAGCCGACACAGACGGAAGAGGACAGCTGAGGCAGCGGCGACCACACCCCTTTTTTTTTTTTTTTTTTTAAACAAGCCTTCTCCCATTTCCTTCCGGCGTTACCCACAATGCCCCCCGTGCACCACGAGTGACGTTTAAATCACACCCACCTCCATCTCCACGTTGTGTTTCTGGGTCCTCTGCAGCACCTCCTCGGCCTCCCGCAGCCGCTTGCTGAGCTGAGGGGAGTACTCGGCGGGGGCCAGCTCGCCGTCGTAGGACTCCAGTATGGCGCGCATTCCGTCGCGCTCCTGTACAAACGCACACAAACGAGAAAACATGACTTTAGGAGAAGGAAATCCTGCGGAACACATTCCCACGCAGCCGAGCGGCTTAGCAGACTCTACTGCTATCCGACATGTAATGTTTGCCAGTGAGGGGAACGAGAACATCAAAGCGCTCTTGATCATTTCTGGATTTGTCCGCGTTGAGCTCGCAGGACTGTTTGGTGTGTTGATACGACGGGCAAATGCCTTTGTAAATGAGGAACAAAGCGTGGAGCAGCTGCTCCGTTCTCATTCAAGCTGTGGCCATGAGAAGCTCGGGGTGATGGTCGAGCTCATCGCGGTTCCGCCGTATTTAATAATTCAGATCAATAGACAGAAGTCTTTGAATTTAAAGGATAAGTAATACATTGGAAAGAAAATCTGGAAAATTGAAATGAAGGCATATTAGATCTTGCTGCCTCTTCTCTCTTTTCTGTGAGGAGGTCATTTCAAAATGCAACACTGGAATGAAAGACGAGTCCTCAACACGTCGCAGTCCTTTGAGAAAGGACGAAAGTTAGCGGCTTCACATTGACTGACAACCGTAAGGACTTTAAAACAAATAGTTTATGCTCTTCTTTTTTAACACGTGTTCAATTGACATTTGAGGAGGAAGGACAAGTGGATACGGTACTGGGTGAAATATATAGATTTCATTTAGTTAATGGCAACAATGCTGCCAGCCATGATTAATCACCCTTGACACTAAAATACTATTCAGTAATTAACATTAATTAAAATAAACAACGCTCTCCGTTACACATCTAATGGCAATAAACGATTACTACTTTGAATTAGCGCGCTGTATTTGTGCTGGTTGCCTGGCAACATGATGAGAAAGAAGCAATCAGTTTAATAACTGTCAAACAGCCCGTTTATTGATGCAAATGTGACATCAGTCAAAGCGTCTCAGACAACACGTCCCGGCCTGCTCTGCGTCGCAAAGTGACGCCGCGCATTTCTAATGAACATCAAAACAAACAGGCGCGCTGCTCGGGACCTTCCTTGAATTGTGAGGCTCAATGAAATTAAATGTCTGTTATTAACGGGGCTAATTTGGCCGCGATTGCCAAGCCCAGGTTGAAAGGAGGTACTAAATACCGGCGGTGAGAAGCATCCCAGATAACCGCAGGTAATATACGCTGATTGCAGAGCGCTGTCGTCTTTTCGAAACGGCTTGAAAGCGCCTCGTAATTCCTGGACGTAAAATCTATGAATAATGGACTGGAAGGTCCGTCAGATTAGCTCTTAGGCGTGTACACGAAAAAAAAAAAACATCATCACCATAATCAGATTCTGCCAGTGATTGAAACCAACATAATCATTTTAAGAGACGCCGGTCGGGTTCATTTAAAAACACTGTATGAGAAATCATACTTAATTCAACTTTATTAGTTTTGGCGCCGAAGCATCGTTTGTCATGCAAAAGTGTCCTGATGCATCCTGGGAGAAACTCGGGTGGGAGAGACGAAGCAGGCCGACCGAACAGAAATCAGAATTTAGAGGTCAGCGTGTGTGTGCGCGTCCAAACCAGCGAGCCCCTTTGGCTATTTACGGTCTATTAACGCGCAATGAAATTCACCCAATCTAAATCAAAAATCTGCCGGCTCCTCTCCGATAAAAACCCTTATTTTAAAAAACAAACAAATGGGGAGCAGTGGGGGGAGGGGGGGCGATAGAACCATCATTACCGTCGTCATCATCTATTTCTTTAAATTGCTTTTCATGTCGACCGCTTTATCTGGTGCGCGGCGATGTGACGGAGCCTCTAATGGGTCGGCGGGTTCGTCCCGCCGAAGTATACGAGAAACATCAGCGTGAAGGAGTCGCAGCCTCGTGGCAGAAAGGGGAAGGAGGACATTTGGAGACGGGAGACACGGAGGTTTGTCAATTGGTCGGTCGTAGTTCAAGTCGACCGCTTTGTGCGGGTTATAAGACAATGATTTAAGCGTTGATCGGTCGCAGCCCTGCCGAATTGATTGCATCAGCGACAACGCAAAGTTGGAAACTAAACATACTTTGCGGTTGTCGATACAGTTGATGGCACAAAACCGCAAGCAAGGGCTCAACGTTTAACAAAAAAACAACAACGATGTGAACAACTTCTCGTACGGGTCGGTTAAGTGAAATCTTTTCCAGCACGCCTGTAGCTCAGCCTAGTTATGGTGGAGCCTGAGAGAGAGAGTGTTGCTTTGTGTACTAACAGTTGGAGCATGTTGACCTCGGGAATTACACACAGTGAGAAATCAATACCACAGGGAGGGCTAGTCGGGCACCGCGGAGCAGACGGCAGTAAGATAGATACACGGGGAGGCACGGGACTTTCATCGACCAATCAGAAGGGGAGGGTGCCGGGGCGAAGGGCGGATTCGGAATTCACTGCCGGCCTCCGTGTTCCCCCGAGAGGAGCCGCACGGAGCCGAAGGCCGTGAGTCGTCACCTTGGTCAGCAGCAGCACTCTCTTCTGCAGCCGGCGGACGAGAGCGTCCTGCGCCTCCCTCTTCTTCTGCTCCTCCTGAGTCCTGCCACGCTGCTTGGACAGCTCCGCCCGCAGCTCCGCCTGGGACCGCTCCGCGCTCCTCACCCTGGGAGGAGGGAACCAGGGAAAACCAGACGTTAGTTATCCTGTAGCGGCCTTCGCCGGGTCGGGCCGATACGACGAGAATTAGAGCACGCGCTTCCATCGTCTCTCACACGCACACGGCGCTCTCCCGTTTCTAATATTTCGTAATGAGCACGATAGGCAGAGCGGTACAGAGGCGCTCGTTGGCTAATGAAAGCTTTCTCAGCCGGACTGAGCCGCGGGCCTCCCCCCCCCCCCCACGGACCTCACCTCCGCCTAAACAGGACAAGTTTAATTAGTGAATTCCCTCTTTCTCTCACTCACAAGCATTCACACACACACAGCAGCAGCGGTTACTGTATTCACACACACACACATACAGCAGCGGTTACTGTCGGGAGTGCTATCAGAAGCACCGGTTTAATTAACTTTGTGACAATTAAGGACTTCTGGAGATACGCTCCAATAGATACGTGGGGGGAAGGGAGAGGTGGGGAGAGTCTGAAGGCGGAGAGGGGCAGACATTTTGTATGCGCGTGAAGACGTGTGCGTTACCGGCTGTTGAGTGTGTAGTTCTGCTCTTTCAGAGAAATCTCTATCTGCTGGATGTGAATCACCTCCCTGGACAGATCCTCCGGTTTCCTACAGACACACACACACACACACACACAGACAATGAAAAGGGGACAGAGAAAAGATGGAAAAGGCGGCACTTAGATATCCTTTTGTTATTGGGCCACGGGGGGAGCTGGAGAATGAAATGACATGAGCAGCAGGGAGGGAGACGAGGAGCTAAATACTGGTCACAGTTCTGCAAAACAAACTCACTCCGTGGGAGAGATTGACAGATTACAAACGCGTGCGCACACAACGGGCAGGCAACAAAGCGAAGGTCACATACTTCAACGGAGACGCACCACACGACCTCCAAACTCTAAAATCCCGGCTGGCTTCTGCGGATGTGTGGAAAATAAAGAGCGAGCGGGCGCCGTTATCTCTTCATCTCTTGTGAAATGGGCTTACATTAGGGAAGCTTAGCGCCGAAGCGCCCTGCAGCCGCCGGCTCGCAGTGAAAAGCGACGGACCTGAAAAAGTGCTGCGGCTCGCTCCCGACGTCGCGAGACCGGAGCGTGTTCGCCCGCAGGAGGTCAGAGGGGCGTCGCCTTCTCCTCCCAGCAGGTCAGACTAGTATCGTGATGTATCGCTTTCTCTATATATACACACATGTATACATGCGGTCAAGGTTAACACCAAGGCTGAATGGGAACGTTGGTTGCCGTGGATTTATCACCTCCACTTCTGCTTGGGACGGAGGGGGGGGGGGGGGGGGGCTCAGGTATGAAAATAAAATCATGACTAAAATATGAGTCCAATCGCGTGATGGAATAACTATGATGCTTAGACGGGAGCAGAGAGCAAATCGAGCCCCGTTTCGACGCCGTGAGAAAGGCGACTCAAGAGAGCGGAGGCCACCGAGGTCAACCGGGAGTCGGGTTCTTACTTCCAGAGTGCTGCTGGTTCATTTTGGAGCGTATTACTTTTCATCTGTCAAAACTTTAAGTGCAATTAAAGCAACGGCGTCACCAAATGTTTCTGCATCTCTGGTAATTAATATGTGCTGCAAATAAATCATCGTTATGTTCCAGTTATAATCTTCAATTTGCTTGTTTGTTTGTTTGTTTTTTCCCACCCAAAAAGTCTTCAACCCAAAGAGATTCAGTTCAGAGACAGAAAAATGCAGCAAATCCTCAGGTTTTAGTGGGTGGACGATGGAACCCGTCATCGTCTGGCATTTTTGCATTTTGCTTGAAAAATGGCTGGAAATTAACATTATTCTACTTTTATTTTACAGTATATTGAGCACAGACAGAACAGTCAGCAGAATAAAACGAGATGCACAACTAAAGTTGGGAGAACTTGAGGACGAGGTGAGCATCAGATTTCATTGTGTGGGAAACAAGATCAAGACGTACTACGATGTACCACGTAGACAAACACCCTCAAGTGTTTTTTTTCGGGAGAACAAGCACTCAAAGCCGGCAAAAACGTCACTGAACAAAGGAAATCCATTTCCAGAACGAACCTCTTGACATTCACCTCGTCTTCGTTTTGCTCCACCCGACCGCCTTATTTGCAGAGAATTTTGTCAATCCCTTCCCGTAACTCTTGCATTCAATTGTCGGCCACCTGGGCGCACACGTGAGCAATCACAACTTTATCAGATCGCACAACAGAAGGAAAGGAAATGAAACACCAACAGCCGGCCGACACTCAAAACATGGCCGCCGTTGTGCGATATTTATAATTTGATGAGTGACCCAGACGCAGCATAAATATGAGCTCTAAGATAAAGCATTGTTTGGTCAATATTAATTCGGGAGCTGCTACGTTACTCGCGAAGGCGTCGTGATGTTATCGCAGCACTCCAGTGTTGTTCATTTTCTTTTCTATTGTAATCAGCTGATTTTTTACTCCCGAAAATGCACAATGACATAAATCCAGATTTAATTGCACTTATGCCACCATTCTTTATAAATTTCTCATAACACATTAACGCAGCTGAAAAGATTCAGCACATTACAAATTATGATAACGTCTGCTTAACAGCCTCTGAGGCGATGGCAGTCTGCCATTAACACGGAAATCAGAGTCAATACCCACAATGCACGCAGCGTACTATTAGGTGAAATAAAGGTGAAGAGATTGCTGAATGAAAAACTCATTTCAGCAATCTTTCTGCCTCTGCATTTTTTTTTCCCAGGACGACAACCCTGAAAATGAAGTTGGTCATTTAGAAAAGAGTAAAAACAGCTGGAAGGAGTTTCTAACTGTTGATTTGCAAGCGGCATTAACCTTTGCTTTTGATCGGTATGAGCCGCACACACACACACACATGGCTGCCCTTTAGAAGCCATATGTGCCATGTAGGGGCTGAGGGGGGTTTCAGCCAAAGCACTCAGGCAGCCAATGGCATGGCAGTCTGAACACCTGCATCTTCGGGAGCGGTTTCCTCAATTTACCCAGAGCGACATGCGGTTTGCAGAAAGATGATGGACAGCCCAGCCAAATTATCGCCTATATTAAAGTGAGATTGGTGCTACACCCCTGTGATCCTTCTAGGCCTTTTAATAAAGGTAAAATTTAACAAACACCATCAGGTCCCTGGACCCATTACGCAAGATCAAAATTAAACCTTACAGGAGGAAATACTTCATTTCGTATACTTTTTCCCTTCCTACCCTGGAGGAAAGTGCGACACACTTTTTACACAGAAACGACTAGATATGCTGCGTGAAATGGGATCCATTTAACAATCCGTTTACATTGCAGCCAGAACTAATCCTCGTGAAGATGGCGAGCGTGCACGCGTGCATGCAGGTATGTATGCATGCATGCATGCATGCATGCGGACAAGGCCTCAGTGTTTATAATCTGTCAGATCGGCTCCGCTGCTCGCAAAGAAACAGGCAATCATTCTCTCATTACCAGTTTTGACTGTATGCATACTCACACACGCCTGCACGCACACATGCACGGAGCAGGGGGAGTCAATCCACAGTGATGAGGCACATTTATTTGGAGTTACCACATCTCCACCTGGTGGTACTCAATCAGACTTCATGTGGAAGAATATACAGCTAAAACCTTTAGAACGAAGGCGTGTCTTCCTATTTTTCGGTCTGATTGCATCGCTCACAGACGTTGACGGATTCTGACCTGATGTTGAGGCCAGTAGACTGGCCGATGGTCTCCCAGGCTCGGAGCTTCTCCGCCACTCTCTAAAGGATGCAAGAAACATTAAGTCACATGTTGGTCCATGTGTTAGATGTACCTGCTGTTGTTAAAGTGGCAGCAGTGCAAAAAATGAATAAAGGATGATATAACAGAACGGTGATACACAAAACGCAGCCTAAAATATGATCTTTTGTCATCATCAATACAAATAAATACAGGTCATATATAAGTTAGTTTGACTTTGAATGTCTTTATGCGTTAATATTTAGAGCGATGGAATGAGATGACGACGAGAGATGCCAGACGCTCCGTCACAATCTCACAACCACACGTAGTCCGGAGTTTACCTCCTTCTCCAGTTCCATATTAACCAGCTCTTCCTTGGTTCTCTCAGTCCTCTCCAGCTTCTTCCTCAGACCCTCGACCTCCTCCTTCAACAGGCTGCAATTCTCCCTGCTCTCCCTGAACAGGCCGACGGAAAAGAGCAAAAACAAAAGTCAAAATCAGCTTCACATGAATGTTGATCCGTCCGACACAGAAAATACACCTATGAGCCACAAGGACAGAACATTTAGAACGGCGTAATGTATAACCATGATTGCATGGATGGGATTATTCTAAAAAAATAAAAAATAAAAAAAAAATAAAAACTTTGATTCAATTTCCTTCTAAATCTATAATAGGAGTTCTTTTTTCGCCATTATATGATAAATATGTTAATATGTTATCAAACCTTCCTCCTTTTCAATGGCCACGTTCTCATTTTAAAAAGCTGGGACTTAAAAGTGTGACCGTGCTATTACAGTACCTTTAGCAGAATTGTAGTTGTGTAAACAACATATCTTTTTTATACATTATCATGTTTAATACTTCCAGCATTAGAATGAAAGTGAACGGAATGCTGCATTTCTGCACTTAAACATTCCTCATGTGGCACAGCTTTTCTCCTACTTTCCCTCCCCAAATGTACCCATCACCTAAAACCTCCTAATGCGCCATGAGCACCCAAATGTCAGGCGGTTCGAAGCAGTGTGTGCACCACTGTGTGCTCGCACTAAGCTGTGGTCTTTAGAAAACAAATGCATGTCCATTGAAACATCAAAAACATTTTTGACCTGAGAAAGGCATTATCTTCTCTGAGGCGCTTCAAATCTCTTTCCAGGTCTGGAACTCTGGCCACCTCAGACTTTATGTTCTTCACAATGGCAAAGTCTTGCTCCTGGAGGGCGAGACGCCTCTCCAACTCCTGTGGAAACACGCGAGAGAGAAGTCAGTCGAAGGTAATAGCAACATCTACATCACGTGTTTTAGGGCCACGGCACAATGCTTCATATGTGGGCACCTTTGAATGACCCTATGCAAACATTATCATGCAAAAATGAGTTAAAAAGCCAAATTGAAATCATTCTGAACAACAAGTAATTTAAAAATGAAACATTAAGTGAATAAGCAGTTCAATGTCTCAATAATTAAAAGGATGAACGATACATGTGATGTAGAGTACGTTTAGAAGACTTTGTAATGATCATGGATAGATGTAAACCCTGTAATCTCCTCACATCATTGAGGGTTTTTGACAGTAATGTCAATTCTCGTGTAGCAAACCTTAATCGTGATGATGTGCTCTGAGCAGGACGACTGCGCAGCTTGGAGACTTTGGCAAAGCTGAGAGACTTCCTGATACTTCCTGATTACAACACCAAGCAGATAGAAAATGTCAGGTCAGCGTTTTTATTGCGCAGTACAGCATGAAACAGAGCTTGGAAAGTTGGTATTCTCAGTATGTCGCTGTACCTGCGCTGTAAATCTAAATGTTCCTGCAGTTCCTGGTTTTCAAGGGTATGAGAAGAAACTGCAGAGTCTTGGTTTTGAATCTTCTGCTTCAGCTCTCTGATCTCATCCTTCAAAGAACTGATAGTCTGGGAACAGATTGCAGAAGTGAACCCATGTGAAATAAGAGACATGACCCGTTTGCAAATGCAGTAAGTGTAAATGTGCATATGAGAGTGTGTGTACCTGGTTAGCAGTGTTCAGCCTAGTATCACGCTCCTCCACTTTCCTGTTCAGGCCGTCCAGGTTCTTGCGCAGAGAGCGATTGACCTCCACCTGCTCAGATAAGTTCTTAGCTTCCTCAGTCTCTCTCTCCTCCAACTTTTTAATTCGCCCCAAGAGGTCCTGGTTCCGGTCGACCTCATGCTGTGGCATAGAAAGGGGGAGAGGGTTTGGTTTATTTACCCAACGTCTTCTCTGATGTTCATTTGAACGGAATGGAGGCGACCTGTACCTCGAAGTCGCGCGCGCTGTCAGAAGCCGCCCTCTCCAGTTCGTAACGCGCTCGCTTGTGACTCAGCTCCATCTGCCTCTTCTCCTGGTCCAGCTGAAGGTAGCGGTTCTTGGATTGAACCTTCTCCGCCGCTTCCAACAACTTAAAAAAAATGGAGTGCAGAAGGTCGCATGTTTAACACCAGCTTCAGAGAGGCTTCGTGTCGACGCTGCCAGCTTTCTGTTTACCTCCATGCTGCGTTTGTACTGACTCTGCAGGCTCACGCTCCCCGCTGAGTGCTCCGACAGCCGCTGGGGAGCCTCGGAGTGTCTGATGAAGGAATTGAAGGACTTCAAGGTGGTTAATACGGTGGTGTCATCTTCTAAGTCCATGTTGTGAAGTCCCTGGAGTTCTGAAGCACAGATGGGACGGTTCAGGGATGAGAGCAGCGAAATAAACAACGCAGCACAGCACAGCCGTGTTGGCTAGTACATAATAGATGACGTTAGATGACGTTAGATAAGTTAATTGGAGATATAGATAGAGAGATAGGCTGTTTAAATGCTAACAGGGCGGCGTTATAAAACGTCATCGGTTAGCCAACATGAAACAAAAAGGTAAGCTAGCTATAAATGCTACAAACATTAGCTTACTTGTTCAACAACACAAACAGCAACTGTCCTCCCAGTTTAGCTAGTAGCCTTGAAACTAAGAGCTGACTTGACGCATAGTTTCATGTTTTAAACGGTTAGTCCGGCTCGTGCGTCCCCACAAGTTGACGGTTCATATTCGCTGGTGATACGTTAACGTCAGTTGGTGCCGATGTTCACAAGGCGCTAGCGCGCGTAGCCGGCTAGCATCTCTGTTTGTGCAGTCGCCACTTTGAAGGACGTGTCCTCACCTCGGAGCTGACTTGTTTGCGAAAAGCAACAGGCTTTTGGTAGCGTTGGATGAGTTGTCTCCGCGCTGCTAGCACGTTAGCTTGCGCACGCCGCACAGTAAAGTCCCTCCAGTTTAGCTCAAACGAGTCGGGGAAGTCTCGCGAAACTTCTTCACATATCGCGAGAGCTTGAGTTTCAGATACTGTCCGGAAGACATTAAAATGCGCTGTGAATTTGTTTTACGATTCTTAACGCATTTTCCAGTTTCTATGCCTTTTTAATGAGGATAATAATATAAAGAAAGAAGAGCATTTCTGATCACCATCAACTCATTGTATTTGGTATAGGCCTAAAAAAAGAATGAAATAAAAACATACCACTTACAATAACACAATTTATTATAACAAACACGTCTCGTCATCAGCTCGGTACCTTTGCGGAGGCTGCAAAGACGATTGTGATTTATTTGCCATCATGTGGTTGCATAGTTTGTCCCCTAGAGAGCAGCACCGCTGTATTCATCAGTGGGGGTCAGGAGGCAAGACAACAACCAGATGTGAGTGGATTTTCATCAAGTTGATGAATGTACAGAGTTTCCTTTACACCCGGAGAGGACCAAGGCCAAACCGGGCCGCCGTGTCCGATGAGTAAGCAGAGAAAACACGGAGAGGCGAGGAGACACATGGAAGTCATCCAGATGTCCTACAAGCAGCCACCGAGACGCAATGCTGTGAAAACCGGCTCACTAGTTTAAAAGGTCAGAAGCTCGAGATAGCCCAAGGTGTGCAAATGACCCAGACCTGTCTGAAGTTATGGGGCGAACAATCAAACCTGACATAAAATCAATGAACTCAAGTACCACCACTAACCTCTCTCCTGGGACCTTTTATACAGTATTTAATCCTCTTCCTGTCAACCGGAAATGGTCAGAAGGGACATGACGATAGACTACATGTGGAAAGAAGAGCTGGACCATTAAATAAAAAGCTTGGGGGAGCCACAGAGAGCAGTTTCTTTAAGAGGGAGACGGCGAGGGAGGGGGGGGGGGGGGGTGTGAATATGTCTGAAAAGGTCAGGGAGAAGACACGTCCTCCTCAGAGTGACACGTTCTCTCCGTCTCTTTCCCTCTCGTCCTCTCAGCCCCAGCGTGTCTCCGTCCGCTGTCCTCACGGACCCCCGAAACCTCCTGTCACACCTCCCCTCTTTTTTCCGGGACCCCAAATCTGCCCTGCAAAGCGACAGAGTAACGTCTCCCCCCTGCCCTCACGCCGCCCCCCCCCCCATAAAAATACATGTTTACACACACACACACACACACACATAAACACCATAGCAACTAAGGCAGCAGCAATCCCTGCAGATGTGCCCTTCGTTGCCATCTGTTGTGAAAGCAGCTCTCTCTTTATGGCTTTGCACCCGCAGCATGTAAACAACACAACAAACAAGTAGGTTTCAGTTTCAGGTTTGGCTGCTCTAATCTGATCAAGTCTTTTGTATATTATTCCACATTGTCTCGTTGGTAGCCACTTTTACACTGTGCATGATGAGGACAAAACATCTGCTGAAAAATAGCCGTGAAATACACCCACGGTGGTTTGGTTGTTTTGAATTAAATTACCACTCACTATTACGGACATTTTGTTTCATTGCTTCAGCGCATTTAAATTATCTTTTCAGCCGCAGGCGCCGCTCGTATTCACATCTTGTAATTATAAACTGCGTTTTTGTGTTGTTCTTTTCGCATTTTCGAGTCACGGCGTCCTCGTGATGCAGAGGTGCTTCTAACGGGAGCCGCTGCGCAGCGCGACAGGAAGAAGAAGAAGAAGTCAAGTCAGTCAAGTCCCTTTTCGCTCACAGAGAGAGGTCACTGCGAGGTCACTGACGCACAAAGTGTTTCTTAAATAGCAAATGTGAAAACTGTGAATCTGTGAGGGGAGGAGTGAGGAGGGAAGTGGGCAATTAGAAGGAGACCAAATCCAATAGAAAAGAGGGCAAAAGGGAAATTTGAGGTTCACGAGGTGGAAGGCCTCGAGAAAATACAGATAAAAAGGTTAAAGATAGGAATCAATGAAGAAGGGATTTAATATCTATCTAATGAAGGAGGACGGAGACAAAAGCTGATTCCGGCTCCCTAATCGAGCCCCGGGGAGAACATCAGCAACATGAGTTCATGGGTGCAGAGAGAGAGAGAGAGAGAACGACAAACAAAGCACCTGCTGGCGCACAAACAATGCAAGAAACCAAAATCGGAGGCTAAATTCAAAATGAACGGCACTTACTAATTTATGAAATAACTCTCGCAGTGAAGTGGTCCAGACCCGCCCGCCAAAAGTTTTGCCACATCCAGAACACGTCTGCAGTCTGCAGGCCAGCCCTCCAGAGAGCAGCATCCTCACACATCACGACGACAGGAGCGTTTCTCTCCTGCTCGCCCTGTGTTGTGTTGATGAATAAAAGTATGCATCGTGTACAAAGCATGCTCGCGCGCGCGCGTGTGTAGTCGACTCGACCTTTCCATGAACCGCTGTCACTCCCCGGTTTTCAGATCCATAATCTACCCAACAGCCTGTCCGAAGGGACTCGGCTGGGATGAGGATGGGACTCGTGTGTGTCTGCGTGTGTGTTGTTAGTGCGTCTGATGTGAGCCGGAACTCAACCAATCGCTCTGATGCTTTTTAGCCGCAGGGCGGCTTGATTGACACGTGGTAATAAGAAGCTGCTGCAGGTGAGTGGAGCCGGGGGGGGGGGCAAATGGGAGAGAAAGATGGGGGAGAGAGAGAGGGGGGGGGGGTGAGGGAGGGGAGATGCAACGGTACTGTGTGTGTCAAATATTATCCAATAGGCAAATATGTCATCAGGGTTGAAACATGTTGTTTGTAGTGCAGTGACCCACCTCACTTAATCACTCACAACAATACAACAGGAAAATAATTAAAAGGAGTGTTTTCGATCTTTGAAATGAATGAATAACTACGACTGGCGTCAATAAGGCTCGTTAGTGACTTATATTAATTAATATATTAATATTTCTACCCAGGAAGGGGGGGGGGGCGAGTCCAGGGACGCTTTAGGGCGTGGCCACATTGTGACTGACAGGTCAGTGCCAGCGCCGAAGCCGGTTTCTCTCCATCACTCCAGTGAGGTTTATGTTTAGTCTCTTCTGTTCGCTGGTTGCCAAAAATGAGCCTCTCGTTGTGCACATGTGCTGCTCGGGTGAACTATGTTCTGCACATATTGAATAATGTAGAATAATTTCCCCCCGTATTCCCTGCATGGCAATTTCCACCACATTCAAAGAGTTCAGCAGCGTGATGAACAACAGTGCGATGGACAGCATTGGGCCCCGGCCAGCGCCGTTGAGGCTTGAAGCTTTGTTCGAAACAAAGAAAGAAAAAACTCAAGAGAAAAACTCAATTCCCGGACGTAGTTCAAACCCTCACCGAGACTTCCTCTGACATTGTTCGGATCCTGGTGACCTTTCCTTCTTCAAAGCTTTGTTTTGCTTTGTCTTCTCTGTTTATTGCAGCGGGCTGGGGGGGGGTTCGCTCATGCGGCGGTGATAAGCGGCGTTATCACAGTGATGTCCGCGCTCATTTGCGGGGCTCGCAGCGGTTTCAGTTATTGCTTCTGATTCATCTAACAATTTCCTTTTCAGTCTAACCTTCAGAGAGTCGGAGGCTTTTAAAGTGCAATTGTATTTCTCGACATGCTGTAGAGGGTCAAGTCAACGTTATTCATAGAGCCAAACATCATAAATCCCACTTTGCGTCGCGGGGCCTTTTCTATTGATGGACCCTCAATTCAGGTGAATGAAAAGTTCCCCAAATAAAAAACGTTTGTGTTGTAAAACTGAGGAGGATTCCTTTGTCCTGTAGGAGAAGCAATATGGACAATCCAAACGAGAGAAATACAACCTCCTCTCCACCGTTTAGCCTGGAAAGAAGAAGGACTGCGCACATGCAATGAAACAGCAGAGAGAGAGAGAGAGAGGGAGGGAGGGAGGGAGGCAGAGAGGGAGGGGGGCGAGAGGCTGAATCTCCTTGACGGAGATCCAACACTGGGAAGGAGGCAGCCAGGAGTAAAAGAGAGAAATGGTCCCTGCAAAGAGAAAAAAGGAGGGAGGGAGGGAGGCAGAGAGAGAGGGAGGGAGGGAGGTAGGCTGAGAGAGAGAGAGGGAGTGAGGGAGGAAGAAGGGAGAGAGGTACACATCTGGGCACAAACACGGACCTCCGATGACTATCTGTGGTAATCAGCGAAGCCTCAAAGATGCTCCCGCTGTGATCTGTGCGACTCTACGGAGGGAAATGACTCTTTCCACCTCGACCTTTACACATCCGATGGCTTCGGCGGGATTTGGTGGCGTGTTTCAGACTCTCACAACGGGGGGGCGGGGGGCGGGGGGGGGGCTTCTGGGAGAATCCGGGTTCCCGTCGCTCCTCGGGCAGTCAGTTCATCAGTTAAGGCCTCGGCCTCGATTGATTTTCTGCCCCAGTCGACGTTTTAAACGCGATTACACGTATAAGAGCGGCTGTTATGCTGCAGTCAGGGGTCACAAAGCTCAATGAGGGAGGGGGGGGGGGGGGGGGGATGCTATCGGCTCACAGAACAACTGGATGTAGATGCACATTAAATCAAAGGAGCCTGGCAGCTCTTTCAACATTATGTTGTAAATTAAATCAATTTGTGTGCAAATCACCCAACGGTGAAAGTGGGTTTCACGTCGTCGTCACTCTTTCCCTTTTCATTGATATTGTTGCCTTTTTTGTCTCAAACAATTATTCTTCAGCGTTGAAATACAGACAACAATAAATCACTGGACTCTGACGTTGACGTTCTTTGTGGTTATTGACATGAAGAAAAGGAGTTAATCCTTATAAAGTGTCATCACACAGAATAATAAATATTGGGCCATTGAAACCCTCTAAATTTACAACCATCTTTATTACTCTGCTTTATTTTACAGAGATTCAAGTCATC